CAGTCTACTTCACTATCTACGAACGCTTTCAACAGGTTTATTATGGTCCTATTGGTTCGTTCCGTTTGCCCGTTCCTTTGCGGATAGTATGCAGTCGTTCTAGTTTTGTCGATCCCGAGTGACCTGCATAGCTCCTGGATTAAGGCGCTATCAAAGTTGCTACCCTGATCCGAATGCAGTTGGCATGGTGCGCCCCAGCGGTTCACCCAGTGTCCAAGAATGGCCGAGGCTACGGTCTCCGCATCCATTCGATCCAATGGAACCACCTCTTACCATTTTGTGAAATAATCCACCATAACTAGTGTAAACCGGTTCCCGCGGTCAGTGTGCGCCAGGGGACCCACAATATCGACACCAACGATCTCGTTCGGGTAATCTGCCTGAATAGGTATCAGTGGGGCCCGGGTTTGATGAAACGGTGCCGTAAATCGGTCACAGTGCGCACAATTCCGACAGAATTCTCTTATGTCTTTCTTGATGTTCAGCCACCAGATCCGTTGTCTGCATGCCTCATCCATTTTGTTCACTCCAGCGTGGCCCAGTTCTGTGTGCACGCAAGGGCATATTCCCGTTTTGACTTCGGGACCACCACACGCTTCTCGTCCGAGTAGTCATACTTGAAGTGCACCACACCGGCCTCCATCGATAGGTAGCTCCACATGGCCCATAAACATCTTGTTTCCCAGCTTTGGCCAGCAACTTCCCGGTTGTCCGGCTTATCCTTCCCCATTTTCAGGTGATTATATATCAGCACTGTGTCTGGGTCGCTTTCTTGCATCTGTCCACACTCACCGTTGGCTCTCTCAACAAGATTGACTTGTGTCACAAATTGGGTGCAGGACGGGCAAGGTCCGTGTTCATGATAGGGTCTTCTTGAGAGGGCGTCGGCGTTGAGGTGTTTTTTTCCTTCTCTATGCTGACAGGAAAAGTTGTACTCCTGCATCTTTCCCTGCCAACGAGCGACTTGGCCTTCAGGATCCTTGTCTATACTTCTTTAGGAGGTGGACAAGTGCAAGCATTTCCTTTCTGGTTGTACAGTAATTTTTCTCCTGATGGCTCAACATTCTGCTGCAATACGAGCTCACCTTTTCTTTTCCCTCATCGTCTATTTGAGAGAGTACAGCACCAATCGCACCGTCGCTGGCATCGGTATCCAGGATGAATTGTCCACTCTCCGGGCCCAATTGTGGTAGTGTGAGAACGGTGCTGTTGACAATGCCTTGCGGAGGGTCGAAAACGCCCGTTCGCAGTCCTCTGTCCAGTGGGACTTTGTTTCTTTGTGTAATAATTGTGTCAATGGGGCGGCTATTTCTGAAAATCGAGACACGAACCGCCGATAGTACGAAACAAGCCCCATAAAGCTGCGTACTTTCGACTCGTTGCGAGGTTGGGGCCAGTTTCGCACCTTATTTACCTTTTCTTCGTCAGTTTGAATGCCTTCGGCGGAGATCACGTGGCCGAGAAAGCGAACCTCTCGTTGGAAAAGTGTGCATTTGGCGGGTTTTCGCTTCAACCCGACCTTGCGGAGACAGTCAAACGTGGCCCTTAGATTCGCCAAATGTTCCTCCTCGGTCTTTCCGTGTACTACCACATCGTCCAAGTAGACAAGACACTGCCGTGGGATCAGTTCCCTGAGCACTGAGGACATTAGCCGCTGGAATGTAGCCGGTGCGTTCGTCAATCCAAATGGCATCGTCTGGAATTCGTATAATCCGTTTGGCACAACGAATGCTGTCTTCTCTCTATCCTTCTCTTCTACTTCCACCTGCCAGTACCCAGATGCTAGGTCAAGAGTTGAGAAGTATTTCGCTCCGGACAGGGCGTCGAATATGTCTTCCATTAGTGGTAAAGGAAAACAGTCCTTCTTGGTGATTTCGTTTAACTTTCGATAATCGACACAGCCTGATTGTTCCGTCTTTCTTTTTCACCAAAACAATAGGGGCAGCCCAGGGCGACTTTGATGGCTGGATCACGTTTGTCGCCAGCATCTCCTTCACCATGCTTTCCAATTCCTGGACATAACAACTTGGAATGCGGCGGGGGTTCAGTCGTATGGCTCCGGCGTGGCCCGTCTCTATCCGATGTTTTACTAGCCCGGTCCTACCTAGTGGCTCGCCGTCCAGCATAAATATATCTCGGTATTTTGTAATCAGCTTATTCACTTCCTCTAGAGTCGACCGGCCTGCGTTAGGTTCTGTTCTTGTGGTAATATCCTGGAGATCCTGATTCTTGATCTCCACACCAACGGCGGTACAGTGGTCAGTTCCCTCGCGGGTTTCCCTCGACGGCTTCGCCAACCTTCTTGTACGAACCGTGGAGTTCTCCATATCTATGGTACATCGGAGCTTTTTCAGGATATCGGTCCCCAAAATAAGGCCCACTGACAGCGGTTCTGCGGCCACAAAGTAGTGTCCAACTGAAACGCCATCCAGTTGCACCCTCAAACGAACGGTACCGATGGCACGGATCGCCGCGCCGTTTGCTCTACACAACTGGCCATGAAAAGGAGTGATATCAGGGTTACCCACGGCTTGCAGCATGGAGCTGTTGATCAAAGATTTGGTTGCTCCCGTATCTACTAGCCCCTTGACTCTCAATCTTTCCACGTGTATCTCGATGCGAAACATTTTATCAGACGGCACACAANACACAAACGGTAGGGACAATTGACTCACTTGAATTCGTGTCGTCCGGATTTTCATCTTCCCGCAGCGTTCCGTTTACCGCTTTTCTATAGTTCGGTTCCGGTCTTTCACCGATATTGAGCCACCGTCTCCATCCACCGCAGTCTCGGGGGTAAGAGCACCCGGCCACTGGTTGACGATACGGTCTCGACGCCCATGGGTTTGTCCGTTGGGGTGGCTGCTGTTGGGAAATGGCCCAACATTGTGCGTCCGGCTTTTGGACGGCCCGCTGGAGCTTCTCTGTCACCCACGCCAGTGACACGGTCTCATTAAAGCTTTCTTGGGGTTTCGTGATCAGTCTCTTCTTCACGGAAGGGTTGGCTACTCCTTCGACAAAGCATTCCATTGCGCGGCGCTTCTGCCCTTCGCTGGTGTCTCCCGGAAACGCTTTCTCCACCAGCTGCCTCACGCGATACGCTTCGGTGGTCTCGCCCATCTCCTGGCGCGCCGCGTGAAACTGCGTCTGATA